TGTGTGTGTGTGTGTGTGTGTGTGTGTGTGTGTGTGTGTGTGTGTGTGTACAGGTGCCCATATATGCAGAGGCCAGAGGATGTCTTCTACCCTTGAGGCAGGCTTTATCACTGAACCTGGAGCTTGCTGTTTTTCACCTAGGCTTGTGGCCAGCAAGCCCCGGTGATTTTCCTGTCTTTATCGCCCTCCTCCTCAGTGCTGGGGTTACAGCTGCTTGTGGCCTCACTCAGCCTTTATGAGGTGTTAGGAATCCAAACTCATGTTCCCACACATCTGCAGCAAGCACTCTTACCTACTGAGCCACCATCCCCACCCCATTTTTCTTGTTCTATTTTCGTTTTTGTTTTTATTTTTTATTTTTTATTTTTTTGAGGGTTTCTCTGTATAACCTTGGCTGTCCCGAAACTCACTCTGTAGACCAGACTGGCCCTGAGCTCAGAAAGGATCTACCAGCCTCTGCCTCCTGAGTGCTGGGATTAAAAGCAAATACCATGCACCACGCCCAGCTTCATTTTCATTTTAATTGTGTATTATGTCCTCCTATTCTCCATCTCAAATTTGCTGGGAATTTTTTTAGAGCTGATATATTGGCCTTCTATGTTACAATTTTATTTCTGTACTTAGCGGTTTTGGGCCTTAAAGTACACTTATTTTGAAAATTGTACACTAACTATAAAAATAACACAATTTTTTTGAAGTTTCATGTGCTTAAGTTATGTGCTCCTTTGTCTGGCAACAGTCTTACTTCTATTTTTCAGTATTGGTGATTGAACCCAGAGCCTCATGCATGCTGGGTAAGCACTCCACCACTCAGCTCTTAGCAGTTTAAACAGTGGTAAAGATGCAAAACTCACATCCTACCACCCAACTTAAGAAATGAGATCTAGCCCCACCTGTGAGGTCCAATATGGTTCCTCTCACGTCTTCTTCCTAATATACCAGAAAGCCACTAACTTGGTTTTAAATGTTGTTGTTTGGTTTCCTTTTATTTTGTTTTTTTTTCAAGACAGGATTTAATCTGTGTAGTCCTGACTATCTTAGAACTCACTCTGTAGACGAGGCTGGCCTCGAACTCAGAGATCCCCCTGCCTCTGCCTCCCCAAGTGGTACTTGCCACCAAGCCCTGCTTTGTTTTATTATGATTTTAATTGTGTGGGGGGGTGTGCATGTATGTCTAATGCTCCCAGAGATCAAATGAGGGCATCAGATTCCACTCTAGCTGGAGTTAAAGGCAGTTGTAAATCACTCCTACCCACAAACCCTACCACAACCACCACCACCACAGGTACTGAAAACAGATGCTGAGCCATCCCTTTAACCCCACTATCTTTGTTTTCTTTGAGTATTTCCTGAGCTTCTTTTATGAGTCACATTTTGTTGCTGTGGCAAGATAGCTGAGAGAAATGATTCAGGCAGAAGTAAGGCTCATTGTGGCTCAGTTTCAGGGTCTGTATTCCATGGTGAGCTGATTCCATTGCTTTTGAGCCTGTGGCAAGACAGAAACACCATAGAGCACTGGGGAGGAAAGCTTCCACTCCACGGTAGCCTAGAAGCTAAGGCACAAA